TTGAACGCACGCGTAGCTAATGAAAAATACTATAACATAGTAGAAGATGGGAATCATAAAAGGAGTTTAGAATTAATTTGATAATTAAAGTGATGAAGACATTTCACGACGTATTGTCAAGTATAATGGGAATATAATCTTAAGTTTTGTCCCACTATTCCGCGAAGTATATATAGTTATGATCACGCACTTGGTTATTTGAATCCGGCTTGTATAAAAAGGAAAAATTTATCCGGTTTTCTAATTGAACCAATGTGATTGTAATTGCGCTTAATGCCGTACGCAATGATAACAATCCGGTTCTAGAACGGGGTGTTACAGTTCGTATCAATTGGTATCAGAGCTTCAACTATGTCTTCCAGTTGCAATCGAGTGACGCGATTGGTGACGCTGGCATGGCATTGTTCGCCTAGAGTTAGTAAAAAACTAGTGCCAAGTCAGTCTGCATGGGCGCCAGGGCTGCGGAGCGTGATGAGATATTACGATCTAGTTGCAAGGTATGGGACTTGGAGTCCTGTAACATCCCGGGCGCTGACGAGGGCGGGGAGTGATCGCCGGTGCACAAGGGCACGGACAAGGAGCGGCTCCTGGCAGGCTTCTAGGGACGGGGGTACATGAATGAATCGAATCAACACCCGAAAGAGAGGGATTCCAGAGACTGTGCTGGTATGGGACGGTACAGTTGGGAATGACTTATAAGAATTAATTGGTACTACCTATACTAACAAGATGCATCTACTTTTCGGTAGCCCGGATCGGAAGAACTCCACAGTTAAGCGTGCTTGACTTGGAGCAATTCTGGGATGGGTGACCTCCTGGGAAGTTTTCCCGGGAAGTGTGCGAGTGAGGACAAAGCACACTGAAAAGTCTCGTGTTAGTGTGTGGGGACAGTCATTGATTCTTGCAAGTTGTCAGGCGTTACAAGTGGTATCAGAGCAGGGCCTCTCATCCAGTACGGTGTGGTTCGAGGACGAACCAGGCGGAAGCTGGTGGGCATGTAACATCCCGGGCGCTGACGAGGGCGGGGAGTGATCGCCGGTGCGCAAGGGCACGGACAAGGAGCGGCTCCTGGCAGGCTTCTAGGGACGGGGGTACATGAATGAATCGAATCAACACCCGAAAGAGAGGGATTCCAGAGACTGTGCTGGTATGGGACGGTACAGTTGGGAATGACTTATAAGAATTAATTGGTACTACCTATACTAACAAGATGCATCTACTTTTCGGTAGCCCGGAGCGGAAGAACTCCACAGTTAAGCGTGCTTGACTTGGAGCAATTCAGGGATGGGTGATCTCCTGGGAAGTTTCCCCGGGAAGTGTGCGAGTGAGGACAAAGCACGCTGAAAAGTCTCGTGTTAGTGTGTGGGGACAGTCGTTGATCCTTGCAAGTTGCCAGGCGTTACAAGTCCCATATCGTAAACATTAGATTCTAGAGAGGGGTTTATGTGGACTTTGGGCTTGTAACATCCCGAGCGCTGACGAGGGCGGGGAGTGATCGCCAGTGCGAAAGGGCACAAACAAGGAGCGGCTCCTGGCAGGCTTCTAGGGACGGGGGTACATGGATGAATCGAATCAACACCCGAAAGAGAGGGATTCCAGAGACTGTGCTGGTATGGGACATTACAGTTGAGAATAACTTATAAGAATTAATTGGTACTACCTATACTAACAAGATGCATCGTCTTTTCGGTAGCCCGGAACGGAAGAACTCTATAGTTAAGCGTGCTTGACTTGGAGCAATTCTGGGATGGGTGACCTCCTGGGAAGTTTTCCCGGGAAGTGTGCGAGTGAGGAAAAAGCACACTGAAAAATCTCGTGTTAGTATGTGGGGATAGTCGTTGATGCTTGCAAGTGGCCAGGCGTTACAAGTGGTATCAGAGCAGGGTCTCTCTTCCAGTACGGGGTGGTTCGTGGAAGAACCAAGCGGAAGCTGGTGGGCATGTAACATCCCGGGCGCTGACGAGGGCGGGGAGTGATGGCCGGTGCGAAAGGGCACAAACAAGGAGCGGCTCCTGGCAGGCTTCTAGGGACGGGGGTACATGGATGAATCGAATCAACACCCGAAAAAGAGGGATTCCAGAGACTGTGCTGGTATGGGACAGTACAGTTGGGAATAGCTTATAAGAATTAATTGGTACTACCTATACTAACAAGATGCATCTTCTTTTCGGTAGCCTGGAACGGAAGAACTCCATAGTTAAGCGTGCTTGACTTGGAGCAATTCTGGGATGGGTGACCTCCTGGGAAGTTTTCCCGGGAAGTGTGCGAGTGAGGAAAAAGCACACTGAAAAGTTTCGTGTTAATATGTGGGAATAGTCGTTGATGCTTGCAAGTGGCCGGGCGTTACAGGGCTCTCCTAGACCTACCTTACAAGCTAGCTTTTGGGGTGAGGCTCTCCCAAGGTCCATATCACCTTCCTTCTGGTTTGGACAGTAGTTCGACAAATACTGTGGCACATTGCCTAGAAATTTGTTTTGTACAACTATTTGTCAAGGTCATCCTTCCCATCAGAGAAGCCATCACTATCTTTACACCATCAGAACCAGCTCCAGAATTCACCCAAATTCCAATTCAACATTTAATTTTAAATGCTTACCAAAAACCATGTTTAAAGTTTAAACATCACCAACATTCTATTTTGGGGCTTTATATTTAATCAGTTGAAAGAGATAAATGTCTACACATTTATCCTTCAATTGATATTTTTTAGCTCTATGTAGAAAGCAGATGACTTTAAAAGTCGATTACTAATTGTCAGCATATACACCATCTGGAAGAAGCATAAACTAATGTGATACATACCATCACCTAACCGTAAAAGTAATGGTTCAATTCTTCCAGCTGCTGCCAAACATTGAACAATATCATCCACCCTCTCCATCTGCCTCAATACTTCCTCGGCTAAATTGAAATCACAACAATAGCTATCTGTTAATGTTTTCTTCTCACTTCTTCCTGCAGCCATCCAATATATAGTAATGAATAGAAGTAATAGACTTAATTTACTAACGCATGCATGTACTTGAAAATTAGTTGTAGATGGTGACAGTAATTTCTGGGAAGATTTATGGTTTAGAAGAGTTGCAGTGGAACTCCAAGCAGATTACAAAGTTTATGACTGTTTTAAGGAACCCAACATAAAGTTTGAGAATCTGAGGGAAAATATTCTTCCAGGTGAAACAAATTTGACTGCTTAAACCCATAAAACCATAATTTGGAATCAACAATAGTCTCTTGTAAAACAAAAAAACTGCAGCAAGCATATTTTTTTGTATGATTTGAAGAAACCCATTAATTCAGAGTTTTCCTATTCCAAGTTAACTCTATTGCCACAGTTCTATAGTCCTGTTTTCCTTTTCTAGACCTCGAAATGACCCATTAGCATATTAATTGGTGGTGGTGAGACATGTATAATCTTCTTGTTTTGTTCATTAATTAAGAAAATTAAAGACACTGAAAACTTGAAAATAAGCATAGAAAGAACATAAGGCATGGTCTTTGAAGAGCTTCACCTGCTTACAAAACTCAGCACCGTCACTCGGATTGACCCCAAAAGCACGATCAAAATCTATCATAACACTTGTCTCTCTCACTTCCCCTTCAGCTTCCTTCTCCAGCGTGCACCTCGCCCTCTCTTTGTTCTCTGTAACATATCATCAAACACCTTAGCTACAAAAACACACCACAAACCAAAAAGAGATACAAAGAGAAGTACTCTGAAGTGAGCTAGCTTCATATCTCTGGAGAGACCGGCGGGGTGCAGAGGTCGGAGAGGAAGCGGCGGACGGACTCCACGGCGGCCGCAAATTGCGGTGGCGGCGGGGAATAGTGAAACGACACCGTGTCATTGTTACGTGAGGACTAAGACTGAAGCCTAAGCTAATAGAAACAAGTAATCAATATTTATGAATTATGATATGCAGTTTTAAATCGTAGCTTCCATGATATGCTACATCAAGAATATGTAGGCAACGGCACATGCATGCCTATAGGTATCTTTTATTATTATTTGAATATATTTTGATTTTTTAATTCATTGTGCCTATGCGTGTAAGTGAGTTAGGCCGGCCTACAGAGATTTACGGCTTAACCTATATTAGGTCAGATTTGGCATATTATAAATAATAAAATAGAACAGGTCATAAACTTTTTTTGTATATGTCGGACCTATAAATCTACAGGTCGCATATATCATATTATTTATTTAAAATATAATAAATAAAATTATTATTTTAATAATTTTGAATAATAAAATAATATTATTTTAATTATTCTTTTAATTGTTGAATGTTTAATAGGCTTAAACAGGCTAACAAACCAAAACTTTTATTTTTAAATATAGATCATGCCAGACTTGTAATTCGGAGCCTACACAGGCTTATTAGCCAGACCATTTTTTACACATAACTGATCTATTTAAGCCAGCGTAACATATTCTATTTACACCCTTAATTGTGCCTAATAAATATTGTACTCCGAGAAAAATCCAAAAATTAATTGGTTTTCATCAACGTGAATTTGAAGACAAAGCGTACTAGGTTCTTTTCTTAATGTGAAACACTTTATGCGTATTGGTGGACGTGGAGTGAGATTCTAACTCCTAAGTATGAAAAAATTGAACAAGTAACTATGAAGGGAGTAAAATATGCATTTGTCATTGGAAACTAGGGAGGTAGAATAACATTTCAATAATGGATCCTGTGTGTTGGAGTGCACCTTACCATATTCCAAATGAGGAATTTAGCAGAACATGCAATATTCCTTCTATTTCTCATAGAATTTTGTTCTAAAAATGGAGAATAAGATTTTTGGAAACAATGTTAATTAAGTGACCGTCACAAATGCATGAAACTTTCACTGTCTAAGAACATGACACTGATTTGATTTCTATGTGGAACCTGATTCCTTTCCTTTCAACCCTTTCCCTCCATGGTGCGTTCCAAATTAGCCTCTTCTACATAATCCACTGTCATGCACAAACACACCCTTTTACTGCCATAAATTCCTCTTAAACCTTCACTTAAACACACCCACTTGAGCCACAAATTCTTCTTAAGCCTTCCCCTTGCTACCCACCACCTTAACACTTGCACTTGAAGCCTTCTCCATCCAACAAGCAGAATAAGATGGTAGTGCATGGTTAAAATAGCTCATGTTACTTATGAAAATGTTACCAACTACTCTCTTTTTTTCTCACTTCTCTAACACCTTAGAATTGCATGATGTTTTTGACTGCAGAGTTTTGAGGAATCTGGAAAGAAACCTGTGTCTGTTGGGCCATGGGGAGGGAATGGAGGATACCGTTGGGATGATGGTGTATATTCAACAGTAAGGCAATTGGTGATAGTTCATGGGGAAGGAATTGACTCCATCCAGATTGAATATGACAACAAAGGAAGTTCTATCTGGTCACAGAAGCATGGTGTAAGTGGAGGCCATAAAGTTGACAAGGTAAAATTTTTCCATGCCCTTAGCTGATCCTTTTGCTATTAATCGATCTCATGCATCATATAAGGGGGAAAACCCCGTACACAAGGCTTCTCGACTTGTATGGTTAGGGGTGAGAGTCGATTATATGCAACTTTATACTTGCATTTTTGTAAAAAAGCTGTTTCATAGACTCGAACTGTGAGCTTCCGGTCACAAGGAGCAACCTTATCGCTGCTCCAAGGCTCGCCCTCAATCTTGTGCATCATATAAATGAACTATTTATGATTGTGCTGCAGATAAAGCTTGATTACCCAGATGAGTTCCTAACATCAATTGATGGATACTACGGTAGCTTAAGTCAATGGGGACCAATCTTTGTTCGGTCACTGAGTTTTGAGAGCAACAAGAAAATCTATGGACCATTTGGAGTTGAACAAGGAACATATTTTTCATTGCCAGTGAATGGAAGCAAGATTGTTGGGTTCCATGGCAGGTATGGTTGGCACCTAGATGCCATTGGAGTCCATCTGAAGTCCATTCAGCAACCAAACCCATCCAAAACTTTGTCTCATTCACAGAGCTACCTTACTAACACCACTGATAATGTTGGTTATTCTGTAATACACGGAAGTGTTGGTCAAGGCTATGATATTGTTCTTGCTGTTAGACAGAAAGATGATTTGGGTAAACCTCTACCAACTTCAAGCTTCAAAGAATCCAACAATGTTGAACCAAAAGAAAAGGTAAGTAAGAGAAAGTGATTCTTCATGTGTAATCCCTTTAATATGTTCCTTAATTTTCTTCTCAACTCTCAAGTTTGTCGTTTGCACCAAACTAAATGAAACTGAATCTTAATTCACTTCAGATAGTTCCTCTGGGGAAGACACTTTCAATGGTTGAAGGTGTAGTGACATATGGGCCTTGGGGTGGTACTGGTGGATATGCATTTGATGATGGACCCTACACAGGAATTAGGCAAATCAACTTATCCCGCAGTGTAGGAATTATATGGATTAGAGTTTTGTATGATCTGGATGGGGAGGCCATATGGGGATACAAACATGGTGGGGCAGGAGGATTCAAACATGAAAAGGTGAACTAAAAATTGGCAATCCCTGGTTAATTTACTTTTACCTAATAAACTATGCTATCAGATTGATTTTTTAAAGAAATTTTGGTGCTTCATTTTTGCAGATAGTCTTTGATTTTCCATATGAAGTCCTGACACATATATCTGGCTACTATGGATCTGTGATGTACATGGGGCCTACTGTTATAAAGTCACTTACTTTCCACACCACCAAAAGGGTGTGTGGACCATTTGGAGATGAAAGTGGAACTTATTTCACAACAAAGCTGAAAGAAGGGAAGGTTGTTGGCATTCATGGCAGTCAAGGTTTATTTCTAGATGCTCTTGGTGTACATGTGATGGAAGGAAAAGTAATAGTGCCAGTGGCAAACCCTCCTTCCATGAGAATCATCTCAAAAGAACCAAGTATTTCTGAAATAGATAATGCACAATGGCCACCCAAACTAGTGCTTGCTAAATCAGCACCAATTGAAGAGGTTCCCCTTAATTCATTTAAGTTTTGCCTTTAGAAACATCACCTTTTAGCATATATATATATATATATATTGACAGACACTTAAGATTTGAGTATCATTTGCAAAGGATATTCTATTCACAATTCACTTTTGCCCCCTCTTTCATAGGTTTCTTATGGTGTGATTAAAGAACCAGCTCCTTGTGGACCAGGTCCATGGGGTGGGGATGGAGGTAGACCTTGGGATGATGGAGTCTTTTCTGGGATTAAGCAGATTTATTTGACAAGAGCACCAGAAGGCATTTGCTCAATTCAAATTGAGTATGATCGAAATAAGCAATCTGTATGGTCTGTAAAGCATGGTGGTAATGGAGGAAACACCATGCATAGGGTATGAATATGATTCTCATTTTTTCCATTTTGTTTAAGCACATTACACTGTTTCATTCTTGCCATTTGTTTTCATTGCTAACAAAAAAAGGAATTGACAATTCATTCTTAGTCTTACTCATGCCTTTTGTGGTTTTTAGATAAAATTTGAGTACCCACATGAGGTGCTAACTTGCATATCTGGTTATCACGGTTCAATTACTACAGATGAAAGGCCTATAATCATAAAATCACTGACTTTGTACTCTAGTAGAGGAAAGTATGGTCCTTTTGGTGAGGAAATAGGGAAGTTTTTCACTTCAACCACAACAGAGGGCAAGGTGGTGGGTTTGCATGGAAGGAGTAGCATGTACTTGGATGCAATTGGGGTCCATATGCAACACTGGCTGGGAAGTCAGAAAACTTCAAGGTCATCCTTCTTCAAATTATTTTGATTTGTGGGGAACAAGAAAGTATGAGCAGAGTAATCGGATGATAACAAAATTACTTGTATACTATCTAAGCAATAATTTGGTAGATGTTCTGAACAACTGTAAGATCTGTTATACAATTGTGAAGAATGTTAGTGTTAATCATCAAGGTTGTGCTTAATTTAAGATAGTTTCAGTTTATGCACAGAAAATATCTTGGCCCTCTCAATGTCTTGCAAGTTACAAGCAATTAATAAAATGCAAAATAGCAGTGATATTCATGATTCGTATACTCATGGGCTCATAAATGGCACACAAGAGGGAATGAATTGTATGTTTGTAAAGAACCAATTCAACCCAAAAGCTTAAGCTTTTAGGTGAGACGACATTAATGATTTTATATATCTCAACACGCCCCCTCACACGAAAGCCCGCTGGGCTTAAAGGGTGGACAATACACAAGCCCACCTACTTGTGCGAAGAAAGAAATTCCACTAGAAAGAAAGTGGGGGGCGATGAGGATCGAACCCGGTACTCCGAGGCTCTGATACCATGTAAAGAACCAATTCAACCCAAAAGCTTAAGTTTTTGGGTGAGACTACATTAATGATTTTATATATCTCAACAATGTTATAGATCTTGTCTTTTTAAAATTGAAAACTAAGACTTTACAATATTTAAAGGGGCAGGTTATATTTACAAACTTTTTGTTTACAAACTTTTACAAACTACACTATCTTCTCCTGGGAGAACACAACACTAGTTACACTATATTCTCCCAGTAGAAGATAGTGTAATTTGTAAAAATTTGTAAACGGATCCTTCCCAGTATTTAAAATGCTTTAAAAATAATAATTTAACCTATCCAGACCAACACCTCGTTAGCTACCGTAAAAGAGAAAAGCATGATCTAAATATAATTAATAGATAAGGTACTTGCACTGGGAAGGACACATACCAATTGCAAGAATGACCTGTGCCAATTTTTTTCCATTCCAATAATCTACTGACATTAAAGAGATCATGCACATTTAGGTAACTAAATTGATATTATTGTGAACATACATTTCATAAATAAATGATAAACATGAAAATCAATTTCTTGGTTTTTAATATGTACAAGAAGACTTAGGATGACCACATTTCTGATTGATGAGAGGCTACGAGAGAAAAATGTGTGGACAAAGTAATCTGCATTGGTTTCAAGACTAAGTTTCATTGTCTTCTCCTTCAAGCCTGTTCCTCAATAACCACTTTCATTTGCCACTGTTTTTACCATATGGAACATGCTGCAAACGTCATGAACTAGTACAAATCCTTGCTGTTCACTTCTCCAGTAAACTGAAATTCATCTCTTGAGAATTACTGGCTCCTAAAAACAATCTGCATTTGTAACCAAACAAAAGTATCATATAAAGTCACCATCAAGAATTCTAATCCCCAATAAAATTGCATGAAACTGTAGAGGGTGCACTTTGAGGAACAACTCTTAATCATGCTAGAAGTGGTTACCTTCAGATTTTCATATTCTGCTTATATCACGGCCAAATACAAGAGTTGTAATCCAGTTGACAAGTACATAGAATCTGTTCCTCCAGCTGATGACACGTGTAATATATGCTGAGCGCCAAATAAAAAAACTCAGAAATCCAGCCAGAGCTAACCCTTTTGATTCCTGTTAAGAGCTTGGTAAGTGAAACAATCACACTATATGTTTTTAAAGCACAAACATTAGCTTAAGAATGATGAATATTGCCTTGCTTTGTCTAAGGTCAACAAGGGCCTTGTATCTTCCAATAGTTGCCATGCTTCCAAGGTGCTGGTAAACAAACGGATCCCCAAATTCTATTTCTTTTTCACTGTTTGCATGGCCTGCTCCTGCTTTACCAATTTTGTTTAATAGACTTGCTAAGTATTTACCTTGCCTCTCTGCCACCTGTGGAATTCAAATGGTAATGCATCAAATGGCCTACAACAAGCTTTCTGGCAAAGAAGAAACAAGAAACTACTTCACCAATGAACTATTATTATCAATAAGAATAAAAGAAACACAGTCAATATGAAATGTGCCAGACCTTAGCCTAAATCCGAAACTACATATTGCAGGAATTTGAGGAATGAAGGGGTTTGTAGGAGAAACTAAAAAATCACTCACCATTAAACCTCAACTCACGAGGGTAAAGACGAAGGCAATCTTTGTACGCAGTCTTATACCTTACCCTTCATATTAAAAGGTTGTTTCCCGGATTTCAAACTATGAACTTCCGGTCACAAAGAAGCAGTTTTACCACTTGTAGGAGAAACTAATGAAACAAATATCACTTACTTGGGCCAATGCTGGAAGTGTTGGTCTTCCAGTACTTTCAACAAAGCCACTGCAGTCACCTATTGAGAACACATCTTGTACTGTAGGAACACGAAGCCACTCATCCACCCCAATCCTTTCCAGAAAAAAACTTTCAGAATTTGCTTAGAGATAATAGACTAAAGAAAAGTTATGGTCATTATATATACCTGATCCTGCTTTTCTTATATGACAGATAAAAATTTCTAAATCTATCCATAAATCAGAAAGGAAGTGAATTTAACAATGTTGAGTAACGAGACTAACCTTCCACCGGGAGCTTTAGGGAGATCCAAAGATTGAATAATAGGTGATGGACCAACACCAGTAGACCATACCAACAACCCATATGGAACTTCAGTACCATCATTAAGTATAATCTTCTGAGCTTTAACATCTTTCACAGTGCCACGTACAAGACGAACTCCTGACTGAGAGAAACTAAAATATTGGAAAATATAACACTAACACACAGAAGTCTTTAAGCTTTAACAACTAGCTTGTTAACCAGTTTCAGACAGTACTATTATGATGAAGAATATCATAGTATATGAAAGATTCCAAATGTGGAAATGCATCTATCAATACTTAACTTACCTTTTTCAATTGGTTGGTAGCATAGCGCCTGAGTCGGTCATCAAAGGAAGACAATATCTCATTTGCCTAATAAGGCATGAACAAATTGTTTAACAACATAATTTACCTTAAATGACATTTTTGGAACCAAAAATAGCTTCAACAAGTTTGTGTCACATATCTGATGCTACTGAGCATACCTCAATCAAAGTAACATGGATGTAATCCTTCACATGGACATATCTTTGACTAACATCTTTCATGATAAAATCACTAAGTTCACCACTGAATTCTACTCCTGTAGGACCACCTCCCACAACCACACAATGTAAAAGCCTTTGTTTTTCCTCTGCTGTAATTCCTGCATCCAAATAAAACCACTCCTCGTTAAATCCGGACTAGCCATTAGCCAAGGTAGGGGTAAGGGCAATTCTTTTACGCAGCTTTATTCTTGCATATTTGCAAATAGACTACTTCCTGGATTCAAACTTGTGATCTTTCGGTCACAAAGGAGTAGCTTTACCACTACTCCATGCTTGGCCTTCCAAATAAAACACAGAAATTATGCACAAAAATAAATAAATAAAATTGTCACGACTCAACATTTGCCTAACTTATTAAAACTATTGTAGCAAACCTGGAACATCTGAAAGCATCAAGTTGAGGAGAAGCTTTCGACGAATTTCCTGTGCATGATGAACTTCACGAAGGAAAATGGCATGTTCTGTGACTCCTTGAATTCCAAAAGTGGAAGGCTGTGATCCTAATGCAATTACAAGCTTATCATATGAGATAGTAAATTTCCAGGGATCTATTGTCTGTACTCCTTCAGTTACAGTCTCACAATGCACCTTCAAAACCAAGCATCAAATTCTCCATAAGTAAGCCACACTGCAAATACCAATTTTCCAACCAATAATAGTATCATACATTTTCTTTCAGAAATGAGACAAAAAAGTTCAATCAAGTAAGTAACATAAATCCTTCAGTTTTATGAACATACAAAAGAACTTTAAAATTCCAAACTGTTTTATGAGGAACTTAAATCTAGTAATAATATTCAAAACAATTTTTTTTATTTTATTTTTCATCATAAGTTAGCATTCCAAAAGATGTCACATGCTCCATGTACAAGCTTAGAAATTGAAGTACTAATAAAAATACATATATCATGAAACAAAACGAGTTAACACACCATATGATTATGTGCATCAATGCTAGTACAATTGGCAAGGAAAAAATAAGAACCGGGTTCCCTAGAAATAGCTGGTTGGATCCTTGCAATGGGTTCAGCAACTGATCTAAACTCAAGAGTTCCAACACACGTGGAAGCCAATAAAGGGGTGAAGACCATGTGGTTACGAGGTGAGACACAAATAATGTCATAGATATTTGGGTCCAAGCCCTTCATGAGCCTGCAACCAGCCCACCCTGAACCCAACACCACCACCCGTGGTTTCTCATGGGGCTTTGTTGGTTCCAAACCTGAATACTCATTAGGCTTAATACAAGGCTTCTCCTCAATGGGGTTGGAGCTGAAGTGAGAGAGAAAAGTAAAAGATGGTAAAAGGAAAAATGGGTCGGTGATTTTGGGTCTTTGAGATGCTTTAATGGTGGAGAACTTGGAGAGATTTCTGAACCAAGCCATTCTTGGGTCTCAACCTAAAATGGGTTTCAATGTATCTTTTTGTATTTTTGTGTTGTGTGCGTAAGAATATTAGATACCAGATACGCATCACAAAATCTAGATTGGGTTGGAAAGTGAAGTGTTTTGTAACTTGTGTTGGTGGTTATATTTTCAGTTTAATTTGGAAATGGACCTCACTTGATGTAATGTCACATGCTATACGTAAATTAATGGTTATTTTTTTTACGATAAGGTGACAACTGACAGCTTATGCTATCTGCTATTGTCTTAATATGATTTTTCATAATGGGAGAAAGAATGTTTCTTCCTTCAACCATGGGACCTATAAATTTAGTGGGACTCTCACCAATTATTTAATGGTTGATATTAACTCAAGAGTTAGAAAAATATGTGGAGTGTGAGGCACAAGATGGTTCTTGGATTGGCCTTTGTGTTGCTATATCTTCATGAAGAGTGCGCGAAGTAAGAAAGTGGATGGTTATGAAGGACAAAGACGGTGATAACATGGGATTGGTGGAGAGGGTACGGGATCATTATGGAAGAGAAGAGGTGTAACCAACGTTATTAAAACCCGCATAACCCATCCGGTCGGATCGGTTGAACCGCAAACCGAACTATTAATATGTTCGGTTCAGTCAATTAACCGGTCATGTATGTAACTTGGTCAAAAATTGATGAATTGGTCAAAATCGATGAATCGCTCAAAAACCAGGTTCAACTGATGTTAACCTGGTATCAATTTTCTAGTTGAATCGATTTTGAAAAATTTCACTAAGCCAAAATTGCTTTGCCAAAATATTCCACCACAATTGCACTCTTGGGATTTAAAATTGACACTTAAGCGAAGGGAAATGAAATACTAACCACTAAGACAAATTATTTTGGTTCTTATGTTAGCTCTATTTATATATTTATTATATATTTTTACATAAATTAAATTTAAGCAGTTCTCTCAGTAACCCACTAGTTAAACCAATGATCCACTAACCCAGTACATTGACCAAGACGATGACCTGTGCGGGTATAATGATATTTGGTGTAACATTGAAAAGGAATTTTAATGATAAACAAGTTGAGTGTCTCATGATTGTGGGACAGTAGTGTGCTAAACCTGATTGAGATTTGAGACACTCAATATAACAAGCAATTCAGGTGCTTCATTTTGAGGCCATATTGCCAACCCTTTTTTCAAAGATGCCAATTCTAATGGATTTTTTTACCATTGTGTCCTTAATTACATAAAAAAATACCATTTTCCCCCGTATCAAAATATTTTACCTATTTGCCCCTGTTTGACTGTTGACCACGCATTATACTCGAGTATATTGCGTGGAACAACAAATACTCGAGTGCAGCGAGTATTGTTCGTCATCTGGGTTTTTTTGAACATTTACTCGAGTACAGAACCCAGATACTCGGGCATTTATTGTTCCACGCAATATACTCGAGTATATAGGTCATGTACTCGAGTAAATGAGACCAAATTTCCTTCCAAAATTTTTCAATGCGTAGCTCTCGAAAAGTTATATGGAATAAAAAAAAGCACCTGATTCGAACACCCGAGTCAAAAGTTATGGCCTTCCAAAGTTTTACTATAAAATTTCCAAAATTTTGTAGTGCCGATAGGTTTTGTGATACTCGCAAAGCTCCTTCTCAAGTTACTGAGTCAAGTCCAATATTATCAGTATAAAACTATAGAAACTTGATTGAACCAAAAAATCTCGTGAAAAGAATTTAATTGTAGAACTTCGGAAGACCATATTTTTTGGATCAATCAAGTTTTGTGGGTATTGCAAAACCTATTGGCATTACAAAATTTTGAAAATTTTAGAGTAAAACATCATAAGGTCATAACTTTTGACTCGAGTGTCCGAATTAGGTGCTTTTTTGTGCCAAAAAATTTTCCATTTGGAAATTTGGTCCAAAAAATCCTTCTTTGTGCCCCATTTGGCATATTTTACCTTTGCGACATGATGTTATTTAAATTTTTACTTTCAAACACTAACAAATAATCTTACGGGAGTTTTCCAACTCGTAGCTCTCAAAAAATTATATGGAATAAAAAAAATTGATTCGGACATGAGAGTCAAAAAATAGGGTATTTCGAAGTTTTACGATTAATTTTTTTTCACGAGATTTTTCGAGTCAAACAAGTTTCTATAGTCATATATTCGTAATATTGGATTTGACTCAAGTAACTTGAGGAGGAGCTTTGTGAGTATCACAAAATCTATTGCCATTACAAAATTTTAGAGTAAAACTTTGGAAGACCGTAACTTTTAATTCGGGTGTCCGAATCAGGTGCTTTTTTTATTCGGCTTAACTTTTCAAGAGCTATGCGTTGCATAATTCCTGTAGGAAATTTGGTCTCATTTACTCGAGTACATGACCCATATACTCGAGTATATTGTGTGGAACAACAAATAATCGAGTATTTGGGTCCTATACTCTAGTATAAACTCATGACACTTAATTTACTTAAGTATGAAGGTCACATACTCAAGTATGAAGGCCAATCAACGGTCAAACAAGGGTAGAATGATGTTATGTTTAGGAAAAATGTCATATTTTTGAAATAGTTTAAAAATATGGGCAAAGTGGTATTTTTTTATGTAATTAAGGGCACAATGGTCAAAAAGTCTAGACAATAAGCATCGTTAAGATTTCGGCGCGAAATATTGCTGCTGGCAACCTGATTTCTGGCTTGTTCATTGGCCTCTCTAGTGAGCAGGCGAAGCCAATATCCTCACTGCGCATCTCGATGTTGTTCAAGCCGGTGAACCAGAACCCGTTGTACCAGCGAGACATTGCGACGTATCCCGACCATAAGGGCATGAGCGACACGTATTTTTCGTTGAGGATGGGATGTTCGGTGAGGTTATACCAAGATGCACATTGTCTCAATGAGACTGTATTGGAGATTAAGCTTGATGGTGGAAAGGTTTTTAGGCACGAGAAATGCTGGGAAGATATCTGTTATGCTATATCTGAGACTCATCATATAGTGTATCTTATGGGTTGGTCAATTTATCACAAGTGAATCTTGTTAGGGAGCCAACTAGGCCTTCGCCAAAAGGTGGAGATATGACGCTTGGAGAGTTACTCAAGTACAAGTCTGAATAAGGGGTGCGAGTTTTGTTGCTTGTTTGGGATGATAAGACTTCACACGATAAGTTCTTCTTCAAGATGATGAGGGTCTCTTAGTCTTAGGCATTTAATTTAGTATTCTTTGCTTTTTGATAATTTCACTTAGTTGCTAATTGGTGTTTTTGGTGCGGGCTGGAGTAATGCAAGATGAGCTTCTTGAAGCAACAAGAAAGTATTGAAGCAACAGACTTAATACACTCTCCTGCATAAGATAGTCAGTAGATAGGATTTTTTATGAGTTAATTTTGACTGTAGTCAAATGTGTTATGCCCTGTGCTTTGTGGCCTAATCTCAAAATCGTGGGTATATTTTTTTGAAAATGCAAAATGGAACATAGAAAATAGATCTCCTCCTATGACTCTTTCTCTATTTAAAGTTAACAAATAAATGTCTGTTTACTTCATATTTTCCCCACCTTTCTGCTTGTTACATTATCATTCTTCATCTTTGCTAAATGATCTCCTGTTTATTAGAGAATTGGTGTAGTAAAGCTGCTTGTGATGTGGTATAACACAGGTTGTTGGAAGCGTCTCCACACACCACCAAAAATGTGTTATTATGGACACAGAGGCTAGGGGTGTTCATCAACCGATCCAAACTGATTCAAACCACGGTAACCGAACGGAATAACCGAAAAACGAAATAACCGAAAATCGAAAATCGAAAAAAAATTGCAAAATTGAATTGGATTGGATCGGTTTTTGGATGGATTGATGAAAACCGTTCTAATCCAAACCGATCCAATTATTTCCCAACCTTACCATTTACTTACTTGGGCTTTTCTCCAATCATAGCCCAAAAATCATATAGTAAAATTCTAAATCCAAGACCCATTAATCTATCCTGTTGGAGAAAATGGGTTGTGCTTGATTTATGTTATGTTTTTTTTTGTAAGATACATAATATATTTTTATTACATAGGTTATTGTTGTACAACAGATCCTCTCTAGGATGAAAATTTGGGTTACTTCACATCTCAGACAAAATATATTATAAATTTTTTTGTTGAAAGTAAAAGATGATAATTTAATTTTTTGTTGTACAATGCTTTAGATTGCACAATAATCATCATACAAACTTTATAAAGCCGATAGATATAAAAGATATGATATTTGCCAAATAATCATCATATAAATCTTAGGCTTTTCAAAAAATCGAAAACCGATTCAATCCAAACCGAATAAAATTGGATTGGATCGGATCAAAAAATTCAAACTGAATGGATGATTACATGATTAAACCGAAGGGATTGAATCAGATGATTTTTACTTCCAAAACCGAAAGATAACTACTTTTATAGGAGGTCTTGATCTATGTGATGGTCGCTATGACACACCTGAGCATCGACTTTTTCATGATCTTGACAGTGTAATTTTTGGTGATGTCCACAATCCTACTTTTCCTGTAAGTTGTCAGCCCAATTGGACATATTAATTTGTTAAGTGTTGCATTTATTTGTTCCATTTTGTCAGGACTCAAAATAGTCATATTTAAACTATTTCAATAGAATCTTTTTTAGGGATATTATCCATTACGTATTCATTAAACCCCTAAGTAACTAGATCCAAGGATTACACTTTTTAGAGTGTATGATAAGTTCTCTATTATCCATGATTTGTCTGCCATGTTTATCGCAGCTTCTGAATAGAATTTATATTATGTAATATTATTGATAATGACTTAGTAAAACCCCTAAGTTATAGAGTTGAATTAGAGGGATACATCATTTGATTGTATGAAAGCGCTGTTTCGAAACTCATTATACTCACCTAGTGTATTGAAGTTTTTCAAAGTAATTTATATTTTGTAATATTTTCCATAATGTCTTAGTAAAGCACCTATGCTATAGGATTTTAAGAGCTACACAATTCCTATCATTGGATTTGTTACCATAACT